ATGCATCATGTAGCTAAAAGCAAAATTATAACCGTAAGATGAAAGACTTACAATATATGTTTAATTAAACCGAGTTCTGTTTCGGTACGATTTTCCTATGTTTCAGCAATCACAAGAGACATACCGGGCTATCCATGCTTATATGATTATATTTAATGTTAACAAATTAAAACAAGTATCAGAACTTAGATCATTAATAATATTAATTGACTAACTTTTTTTCTTAAATTGTAACACTATTATCCTGTACATTGGTGTATAATCAGCTTGTTCATAAATATTTGGTCTATAGATTGTCCATTTTATAGGTTTCAGGTTGTTACTGAGATATAATATGCAAGTAGGAGGTACTAAAATGATTCATTGAATGAAAAAACTTCATGACGAACGTGTGAAAGTAACAGAACGGAAAATATTTGGAGACATCAATGCACGTATAGAACACGAACATTACACAGAGGTTACCTTATCGCGACTTCAATGCATGAATAAGACACGAACATATTTATTTGTGTGAGTAGCAAGCCTTGTACTAGGTATGAAATCTGTGAGAAGTGTTCAAGGTAAAACAAGAAGAGATGTGAGTACAACTGGAGACTAAATTATTATAAGAGCTGATATTCTGAACTTGGTAACAGAGAAATTAGTACAACGAATTCTTCATGAATAAACAGTGGGTAGAACCGGGATATTGAGACGAGCATAAGAATTAGAATTTAAAGGAAACGGACCCCTAGGACAACTCAGAACTTTAGCCAGACACTGGAAAATATCAGGAGAGAAAAGAGGTGACGAGAATACATAAAGATATTGAAATGAGAGAGAAATAGGAGATATTTTGTTCATTGAACCTCACAGAACAGAAATAAGGCTAGGAAGGGAAACTACGCGAGCTAATGAAGAAGCTTGTAAGAATCAAGTGGAAGAAATGGCTTTGAATTTTCTTCTTAGGGAGGCTACTGAAATTTGAGTAAAACCTGGACAGTTTATGCAATGTAATTAGACTTTCATAATTCATAATCTGATACAAATATTAAGTTTCTGGACACTATCCATCGTCCTGTCTTTATCTGAAAATACCGTCCCTTTTATATCACAAGACACCGTTTCGGAGACTGGATTCTGTCTCCGAAACTTCGTGTTTTGTAATATAAACAGGACGATGGATAATGTCCAGAAATATAATATTTGTACTAATGTACCATCTTCATAAACTTGTAGGTCTCGTGTTCCGATATTCGAATATTATACATAGCATCTTACTATGACCCCTTATGATCTCCACAGATGAACAGATGAAATATCGATGCCTTTCCCTGTTTTCCCCTAACGAAGACTCTGATTTCTGGCTACACTATATTGGATCAGATGATGGTTGTAATGTACTGCTAGTGGAGCAGCGCATAACTAGTGTAATGTTCATAAAGTAACGACATAATTTAATTCCACATTCCAAGGGAACGCACACGCATCCCCATCTGCTGAAAATGTAATCTTGAAACAAAGCTTCGCGCAGGCGCGGCAACGTTGAGGTAACGGTCCCACTGGAATGCTGGGGCACTGACCTGGAGGCGCCCCGCCCTCAAGGTCGCCCCGGTCGCTCTTTCCCTTTCAGCCTTGAGGCATCTTCCCCTTCGATCCGACGCTGAAGAAAATTGAGACGGAGGAACCTGAAGGGTGAATCAGAAAGCAGCTTATTTGGGAAAATTATCGCTAATTTTGGGTGTCCCTGTGTACCCAAGTTGTTTTTTATTAGTTAATTGTCTAACTTCTCGGAGTAGAATCCTTTAGAAGCTAATGATTACTCTGCTAGTCAAGAAATTACAGGAAATGTATGCAACGAGAAGGTTCATTACCTTGTTCACAAGAGCCCACCGGCGGTCTCTGTTCTCAGCGATATGAAGGCAGTGAATACTCTCTCGTCTTACTTCTTGCGTCAATTTTAAGAGTCTATACAACTTTTGTGGGAAATCACCTAAAAGAGCTTTGCAAGTGAAAATGTGAAGAAAATACGAAAACAGGAAAATTAGTTTCTTCTCTCATATGGCGCTTTGCAGTATACTAGAACCACATCGACATTTCGGAGGAACGTAGGTTACTGCCTCCTCCATGGTGTCAGGGCAAACAGAAAGCTTCTTATAGTCAACTTCTTACTGAATCTTTGTGACACTGAATACGGAGGCAGAAAGTTGCTCCCAGAAGTTGGTATTTGCCTATCAAACTATACTGGGTCAGGAACCGTGCTCTGCCACCTGTTGAGTGTTCCTACTGTCATTACCCTGTGGAGTAAATTTGGAGACAAGGTAAATATATAAAACGAATGCTTCAGTTTAGGAAGAACATAATAATGCCATCACTCGGCTTACTGTTTGGCTCTGAAGAAGGAGGCAATACATTTGTCCGAAACCTCTTTGGACTTCTATCATACTGTACGGCGTAACATCCAGCAATACTCTCAGTAATCACTGTCGTGAGAACTTGAAATCTGGTTTGCGATTTCTTGGACGTGAAAGAATATTCGTCCGGATATTTTGTTCGCACATCTGTTCGACTGTTCGTCACCCTGTCCATATTTCACTGAAAAATTCTTCTGTGTTGCGAGTGTTGCAAGGAACCGCGGAAGCGCAGAACGGAAGAGACAAGCGAAGTGCGGGTCCCGTTACGGTGACGTCACGTGGCCTCCCGTTAGTCAGTTCCTGCTCGCTCAATAGGTCAGTGTCTCCATGGGGTGGGCATGGCACATTGACATCTTACTGACGGTCTATCGGATGGCTCCTATATAAACAGACAGATAAGGAACAATCAGCTTTTCAAGGAACTCCCTCTTGAAGGTAATTAGCTGCAGCGTGCTAGTTTATTTCCTTCAGACCCTCGCAGAAAGTGACTAGGTTACGGGTTCCGTGACATAGGAACTCGCGTTCGACTCCTGCCAGAGACAGATATACTTTCCTTCTTCACAGCGTCTGAACTGACCCAGGGGTCCACCCACCCTCTTATAGAATGGGTACCGGGGTTCTTTACACATGGTTAAAGCGTCTGGGACGTGAATTCGACAACTCACTTCCATCTTGTGCGAAGTTAAGAATGCATGTATCTATACCACAAGTTCCCCACGCATATTCATGACGTGGCTGTTCATTAAGGACAGATACAGATTTAACTTTTAGTACCGATGCAAGATATTGTATTTCTACCTTGACAGATTCGGCTACAGTGTATTCTTATAGTTACTATAGGATTCTGACGATGGTGTATAACACACTGATATATTGGGTTTTTGGTCCAGTGATTGAGGCTAGCTCTTTCTAACGGACCCAACAGAATAGGTGTTTTCCTTCACCTGAGGACGGAAACAGATCCAGTTTCCGAAACGTCGTGTTTTTATTAGTTATCTTAAAAACCAGGACGATGGATAAAGTCCAAAAACCCAATATATCAGAAGGTATTCTTATATTCGAATCTCGAGTTTCAAGAGAACTGTCGGTCTTTGTAACTCTTTTTTTATTGCTAGTGGGGTGGAACTAAGTCCCTTGTACTGCGGCCACTTCTGGCCTATTGTACCAGCCCCTGATGATAGGTGAGGGTGATTGTGGAGCAATTGGTGGAATGAAGATTTGGCAGGGGAAGCCGAAGTACTCGGAGAAACCCTGCCCCAGCGCCACCTTGTCCACCACAAATCCCACTTGACAAGACCCGGGATCGAACCCGGGCCGCCGCGGTGGGAAGCCAGCGACTAACCACTTGAGCTATGGCGCGGCCCTGTCTTTGTAACATAGTAGGATGACCAGAACTTGCCATTACTTTGGCTGAATTTTTCTCTTCTATGTCATATTTACTTAGGCCTGATTTGTCACATCACTTAGAGTTGTAAGCGGAACATGTTAACGTATTGTTTCTCGAGTTTGGAGGGGATTGTGTCTCTCTGACAAAACCTGTCTGCACTTCACACATCCCAGCTCTAGGCGTAAGTCCAGCATGTTCTCTTGTTGCCCTCCAATGGATACAAGTCTTGTTAAACAACCGAGTTTAGTAATATGAACTGGTTATACCATCCTTGAAGTCTCTCTGTTGTAATGAACCCCCGTGCCACAACACACAGTTGAAGCAAATCCACAACTTCTGATCTTAAATAGAACGTTAACAATTATATCCGCATACATAGACACGCCCACGCGAGGCTTTGGTATGATTCATTTGAAGTTACAGTTGTCCCAGCTNATTTTAAATTAAAGATAGCGCACAAAAGCATTAAAAACAAATTCAAACTTTTAATACAGTGTGTGAAAGATGTGTTAGTAAAGAAATCCCATCTGGAAGTCAGCAGTCAGGGGTTCTCCAGTTCCAGGTTGAAAATTCTGCATTTAATTGGGATATTATCATCTGAAACGCCGTGAAATATTCCGGTAGAATTTTACCGACCTTTCTGAGGAACATACTGTCTCCATCTTCAGTGTTGAAGTGTAAGCCAATGAAGGAGACATAAATAAGTAGATTACAGTCTATCAACCCCGAAAATTGAGACATTATATTCCTCCGAAACGTCGGCGACCTTCTGCTGGACTACACGTCGTCATATCCCGCTTTATTTTCGCAGAAACTCTGCAGATGGCGCGGTAACCGGGTTGAGTTCACTGAAGTGCCATAAGTCAGGAAGTCTGAAACTGCGTCAAGTTCTGTTAACATGAAGGACGGCTTAAGTTGTCAAGATGACTGTTGCTCCCTTTAGAACGCTGAGGAGCCACTTCTGCGACCACCTGCATTTAAATGATACTGACAGATAAACCTAATTTCTACATCCCACTTTGATTGACAGTAGCATTTTTATGAACTGAAAAGTTAACACAGCCACAAATTTGACGTCGTAATTTAAATATGCGTTTCCTCAAGGAAACAAAATTATTTCAGGGCCGTAGTGAGAAATGTTAAAGGCAAATTTTGCCTCCATCTTCAGGGCACAAATTGAAGCTATCCTCATTGTGAATAGTAAATGTGTGTTGCAGGCCTGCTGGACACAATAACTAGCACAGCAGACAGCAAGGACTGTCCTGGAGTGTGTGTGCACACCTTGGCAACTCTCATCTGCTACGAGGTGTTGGAGGATGTGGTTTGTCCATCCCAAAGCATGCGCTGTTGCATCGAGCCGCCTCCGAGCAACAGCAGCCTGCCACCCACCAAAGGGGAAGCCCAAAGTTCTATGACATCTGTCAGCTCAACAGGACAGCCCACTGGGAGGCCTCAGGTCAGAACGCGATTTACTTTATGTATCTGTTTATTTATGAATTATGTAACAACGCTCTCAAAGGCTTGGGCTTCAATTCATTTAGTAATGGATTGACTAGTGGATGGTGAAAGGAAAGTTTGTGGAAGGAAATATACATGGCCTAATATGAGGAACTAAACAGGTTTTTGCCAAGGAGAGGCTGAGGAAAATAACAATAAATCTCAGTGACGATAAGCTGTCTCTGGGCTGAGAGATAAACCCAGAACCTCCTGAATGTGAAGTGGGTGGGGGACATACTGGATTGTGGGGTTTTGTGAAGCTTGAGGTGTGTAATATCACTGCATACAGAGTTGTTAATTTATCACTCTAGTGGCTATAATGACAACTCCACCACTGTGATGAAAGTACTTTGGTTCAGTGGCATTCAGGCCACAGATAAATCAGTAGTACTAGATTTGGTGACTGCACAGATTGACTCAGAAGCAACATCTGATATCAGGATATTTATGAATGGAAGTGGCAGTGACCTGTTTTAGACTGTGTAAATGCATTTGCATGGGGAGATTGTAGTAAATAACAAAAAAGTAGCCACAGTAGCTGTTTCAGGCTGAAATTTCAGGAGGCTATTCAGACCAATGGTCTCTTGTTGGCTGAGTCCTTAACCTGACCACCTGAGCTATATTTGAAAGAGCAGCAGAATAATCAGTGTTTTGTTTCAGTCTCCTGACCCTCCATCACAGCCTGAATCAGCAGCCTCAACCATGGAGAAAGATGACTCTGGTAAGATCTTCAGTGTCACCATGACAAGTGTTAGGATAGGTCTTTGACATGTCGTCTGCATGTCCAAAGGTTTAAAAACTTTTAAATTTAAGGAGAATGAAATTCCAGATTTTGTTTGTATGTGACAATTTCCTGTTGGCTGTCATGTCATCTGTAGAAATGTTCCTAAAATTCTAGAGCACTGTCTTCTGAGGTGTGATGCCATATAATCTAGTGGAAGTTCGCTGGTGTTTAAGAGGCTTATCCTGCTTCCATCTTCAGGGTAAAACAGTAAGCCAAGTAAACAACAAGGATAGCACAGTATGTGTCTTCAAAGTGTCAGTGATCTTCTATCAGACTACATGGCATCACATCCCAAGAGATAATTCCCTCCATAGTGATTGCTGTGAGAACTTCAGATTCAACATACTCTTAAACTTTAGTTTTCAACTTTTAGTTCATTAAATTGCATGTGAAGTATGATGAAATGTTGTCACAGGTTAGTAGTTAGACACAGTGATCAAGGTGATAATTACTTTTAATCGATAATTATTACTCTTAACTACAGATAATTGAAACTTTTTTATAACTCTTCACAATCTACACATAGCTACAGCCCATTTCATCCAATTTTTCCAGTCTGCTATGTCTTCTTGTACTTGTTGCTTAGTCATGCCCTCCAATAATGGCGCTCTCCCTAATATTTCCATTCTCATTGGCTCTGGTTGGTCAGTTAAATTGCTACTGGTCTTCAACAGTACAGTCATTCTTGGTTCTGGACCCCACAGGACCTGTGACCAAATTTTTCTCTTCAACGTGTGCATGTTATTTCTGCAACCCAGATGCATCTTTCTCCTCTAGCCCTTTGCACTCCAAGTTGCACTGTAGTAAATATATATTATTTCTATTTGCTTACTTATCTTAAATCTACAATAATAGCCAACTATGTTTTTAATGAGTGGAGTATTTAAAAATATTTTCATTTCTCTCTGACTCTGAACAGGAACTGCTTTCTAATTTTCAACTTGGATGCAAATGAAAAGATCATCCTGGAACAACTTGTATTCCGAAGGTCCTAAGACTGCTAGGATAATCACTAATCTAACTAAGGATTGTCAGGTTGTAAGTCTGAAATAAAATACTGAAATAGAACATCTGCTGCCAATCCCTTTCAGCCTATCATACTTTTTCCTCTGTATATATTATTACATGTGCATAAACTTGCAGTTCTTATGAGATGCGTACTGTGCAAAAGGGAACTGAAAACTTTGTATTGAAACTTTAGTTGAAATATCTCAAGGGAATGGAATACTTGAAAACATCTAGGCCTAGACAGAAATATATCATTCTGATTGATAAAAGTATGAAAACAGATTTGACCATTATGTTTATCCATATACTTTTAACTTGAGACATTGTCATTTATTTATTTATTTAATTATGTTAACTAATTTTGCCTCATTGCATTATGTTCTGATATAGTTTCCTGTTGAACCTAAGTGTCTCTTATTTTATTTACTTTAATAAAAACTTGGTGTCACAGTTTGCAATTGGTACTGTCTACTCATGTTTTCATGAATCTTTGTCTACAGAGGCCAACTCTGAACTCTCCCTCTACCTGGTTAAATTAGTTTTCTTAAAGAGTCCTATACATTATGGGCATAAAGAGTGGGATGACACATGAATCAGGCACTGAACACTGTCCAAACACATGCTCCTAGTGTTGTGTGGTATGTGCGCAGTGAAGGCGTGTCCTGGGGTGTGCGTGGCAGAGAGAATTGCAGACTACTGTGAGGCTGTGCTGGATGTCTCAGAGTTGTGCAAATCGGGGCTGCGCTGCTGTGTTTCTAGGGATTCTTATGGTGATGGAGAATTGCCACCAAATCTTGTCCTAATGGATCGCAATGTTAGTCACCCCACTTCAGGTGAGAGACTGCTTTGTAACTCCTTTTCATCTCTGGAAGCAACTGGCAGACCAATTTGAGTACTGAAGTGCTACAGCTGTATATGTGAGCAAAACAGAAACAGACATGACTAATTCATGAAAGTGACCAGGCTATGGGCTGGACAGCTGTAGAATCGGTGTTGGATTTCAAATGAAGAGCAGATATCTTTCTCTGCTCCCCAGCTTTCAGACTGGATTCGAGGCTCATGCAGCTTTCAGTGTGCCTAGGGCTAATTCCTCTGGGGTAAAGTGGCCAAAGCATGAAACTGACCACTGATCTCCCTTTTTTACCAAGATTAAGGATGTGTGGATGTGTATTTCCTTGCTTTCTTGTGGCATGATGCCTAAATTAGCTCAGTGACAACTTTGCCTATAACCATGTACAGTCCATAACATTAATGGATTTGAATTCCATTTTGGTGTAATTTTCAGCATCACACATATCTCATATGTGATGTGTTATTTTGGCATAAAAGATTAATGTACCTTGAAATTGTTACTGCATTATTATCATATATAGAGTGTTACATCTTTACTCTTGAAATTCTTTGACATATGTTAGTAAACTGAACTGTTTTTACTATATATTAATGACCTACCCACATTTATTAAATATATGAACGCCAATGCAAATCCCCAAACAATTTCATTTGCCGACGATACTAGTGTAATCGTCAGTAATCCAAATAATACAGTACTGGACAGCAACCTGAAATCAGTCTTTAATAGTGTGGCGAAGTGGTTTAAGGCAAATTTACTCCCGTTAAATGTGGATAAAACTTATTGTATGAAATTCAGCCTTAAACATGCAAACAACTTTGAAACTCAAGTCACATACAACAATAAAATTATTTCCTATACTACTGAATTAAAGTTTTTGGGGTTGGTGTTACATAATAATATGGCTTGGAAGTCTCATATTGAAAATTTGGCTGTTAAACTCACTAAAGCTTGTTATGGTGCAAGAGTTAGACCTTTTGTTATGGTGCAAGAGTTAGACCTTTTGTATCATTGAACTCCCTTAAGATGATTTATCATGCGTATTTTCATTCAGTTATGTCATACGGATTGATTTTTTGGGGAACCTCTTCACATAGCTCAATTATTTTTAAACTTCAAAAGCGAATGGTTAGAATACTAATGGAANTATTACAAACACAAATCATACTAAATTTCTTGGACTGACAATTGAAAACGCTATGACCTGGGAAAGACATATTGATGAGGTAACAAAGAAATTGACCATAGCCTGTTACATGATCACAAATATAAAACCAGTAGTATCTATGAAAATATTAAAAAGTATCTACTACTCATATTTCCATTCGGTTATGACGTATGGCCTGATATTCTGGGGAAACTCATTGTATGCCGAAAGGGTTTTCAAATTGCAAAAGAGAGTCATAAGATTCATCAAAGGCTGTGATCTTAGAGAGTCATGTAGAGAACATTTTAGGGATATAAACAAATTATACCTAAACTAAATGCAGCTTGCTATGCGATGAGATCAATTAAGCCTTTTATGTCACAGGAAACATTGAAGATGGTTTACCATGCCTACTTTCATTCTATTATGAACTATGGATTAATATTTTGGGGGAACTCTTCACATAGTGTAATAATTTTTAAAATACAAAAGAATATAATTAGAATCATTACAGGATGTAGAAGTAGAGATTCATGTAGAGAATTATTTAAGAAATTAAAAATTCTACCTCTTCAATCGCAATACATATTATCGCTTCTCTTATTTGTTGTTTACAACAAAGATAAATTCAAATTAAATTCTGATGTCTATAACATGAATACTAGACAAAAATATAACTTCCACCTACCCTCATCAACTTTATCAGTATATCAAAAAGGAGTCTACTTTACTGGCATAAAGTGTTCAACAATCTGCCACCAAGTATTAAAAACGTGGGCAATGATACTAAAAAGTTTAAATCAGAGTTAAAGAATTATCTACATGCTCATTCCTTCTACTCTTTAGATGAATACTT